GGAGCAGCTTATGGGCTTGAACCACCAACCTTCTAGTGAGCAGTCAAATGCCTCAGGCACCACACCACCAGAGGTCCTTACTGTGGGTAACAAGTATTTGAAATACTGGTGGTACAGCGTCCAGCATCACAAGAACACACAAGGCAGCACGGTATGGCAAACTGACAGATGGGTGGTGGGCTAGTGTGGCAAGGACTATGAAGTGCTGGAAGATACAAAGATGGATCCTACAACCCAGAAAGCTGTAGGCTATTCAGCAAATGAAGCCTGGTAAGTGCTACTCAGGAAATAGGAGCCAAGTGCACTGGGACCCCAAACATGAAATGTTAATTTTGAGTTGGAAGAAAGTATCCCCGAGGTGGCCTTTAGTTTGGGCACTGAAGGCCAGGCAGAGAGAGAGGACTGGGAGAGCATCCCAGGCAGAGAAAACAGAAGAGATGAGTAGAGGCAGAGGCAGGAAAGAGAGCTCAGGGCAGGCCAGAAGGCTGGTGTGTTGGAGAATGGGTTGCATGGTGGGGCATGGGTAGGCTGGCAGGGTATATTCAGACTTGGAGGGTCCTGGACTTCATTTGGTAATTAATGTAGGATTATCACAGGCTTCTGAGAGGAGGCGTCGCCTAACAGATCTGTTTCAGAAAGAGGTAGATTGGCGTGAGGAGAATGACAGCAACAAGGGTGATATTTTGAAGCACCAACTACCAAGTCTTGCCAGAGGGAGGGAGACCAGAGAGGGGGCAAGAGCAATGACCCAGGCAGGAAGGTGGCTGGAGGGGAAGACAAAGCCCAGAAGAACTTGGGGGAAGGTATGGATGCCGGACCCTACGGAATCCTGCATAAGAGCAGGCCAGGGCATAGGCAGAGATGGCGACACGTTTAACTGAAATGGCAGGAAGGTGAATGGTAATGCTCTTAACCCAATTACAGAGAAAAGGAAGGGACTTTCTAGGGAGTGGGAGGTAATTCTGTTGAGACTTAAAGGCTGAATTTATTTATTTTTTCCAGTTCAGAGCATATCTTTGCTATTCATTATCCTACACCATATGTTTTGGCAAAAGTTTCACTCTAGCACAGATATTCAGAGGAAAGACATTCATGTACCTGGAATTGTCTCTGAAGCTATGCTATGTTACTATTAGCAAGAGATGGTCAGCATTCATTTCATTTTTAGATGCTTGCTAAACGAGCGATGCAGCTTTACAGCTTCAAAGGCCACCATGATGCCAACAGCGTGAGCAGCAAAAGACGAAATAAATGGGACTACATCAAAATTAAACATTTTGATTAATTTTGATAAAAAGAACTTTATCAACAACATGAAGAGACAACCTACAGATGGAGAGAACATTTTGGGGAATCATAAGCCTGATCCCACCAGAGCTGGATTTGATCCCAGATCTGATTCCTGTGGGTGTTCCTAACCAGCCCCTGATATGTGGGGCTCAGGGAAATCCAGGGCTGAGCCATAACAGCTTCCAGCATTCCCTCCAGGGCCAGGGGCAAACTTCTTTTTTGTAGTAAGATATATATAACAAAACGTTTGCTATCTCCATCATTCCCTAAGGCATTTGACTGCTAACCTGAAGGCTGGCAGTTCAAATTCACCAGCCTCTCCTCAGAAGGAAGACTGGGCAATCCAGTTCTGTAAAGATTTACTGCCTTAGAAACCCAAGGAGGGATCGCTATGAGTCGGAATTGACTCAATGGCAGTGAGTTGTTTATTATTATTACTATTATTA